AGGCTGTATGGGAAGGACACAGCAACAACAGAGGAAATTGAACAGTACTTAAAAGGAGAGGGGGTACAAATATTAACAGAGGAGGAAAAAGAATTACTAAACAGGGAGATCACGATGGGTGAATTAAAAGAAGCATTGAAGAGACAGAAAAATAATAAAACACCGGGGACTGATGGCTTACCAATAGAATTTTACAAAACATTCGGAGAATTATTAAACGGAATATTATTAGAAGTATATAATGAAGCCCTGTCGGAGGCAAAACTACCAAACACATGGAAAGAAGCGTATATCTCCCTAATACCAAAAGAAGGGGCAGATGCCACATTGATAAAAAATTACAGGCCAATTTCTTTGTTGAACACAGATTATAAGATTCTAATGAATATAATTGCCAATAGAATGAAAAAAAATTTACAAAACAAAATACATCAAGACCAAAACAGTTTTCTGCCCACAAGACAAATAAAAAATAATTTAAGGATGGTAATGGATGTCTTAGAGTATTATGAAGTGCATTCAGAGAGACAGATAGCCCTGATCTTTCTGGATGCACAAAAAGCGTTTGACCAAGTAAACTGGCAATTCATGAAACATCAAATTAAAAGTATGAATTTCGGCGACAAATTTATAAAAATGATATCATCAATATACCAGGATCAGAAAGCATGTATATTAGTAAACGGGGATCCAACGGGATTTTTTGGAATAAATAAAGGAGTAAGGCAAGGATGTCCGCTATCCCCCTTGCTTTTTATTTTAACGTTAGAAAATCTATTAATTAGAATTAGGGCAAACAAAGAGATACAAGGGCTAAAGATTAAGAAAGAGGAGTACAAGGTCCAAGCCTTTGCGGACGACCTTGTCTTTTTTGCAGAAGACCCAATAGAAACGACCCCCAAGTTAATAAAAGAAATTGAAAAATTTGGAAGAGTAGCAGGACTAAAAATCAATAAAGAAAAAACAAATATGATAACAAAAAACATGACAGCAAAGCAAGTAGAGCAATTAGTAAAGGTTTCACAATTACAGGCAACTAAGAAGGTAAAATACTTGGGGATCCATTTGACAGCTAGAACTGTAACAATAAAACAAGATAATTACGAACCCTTGGTCCAGAAAATTAAAGAAGATTTAGATAAATGGGGGAAACTAAAGTTGTCCCTTCTGGGGAGGATAGCAGTAGTAAAATCTAACATACTTCCAAGACTCCTTTATTTATTCCAAACGATCCCAATAAAATTGGATAAGAAATTTTTTGATAATTTGGATAAAATAACCTCAAAATTCGTATGGGAGGGGAAAAAATCGAGAATAAAATTAAACATACTACAAGACGATAAAATTAGGGGTGGTTTCGGTTTTCCAGCGTGGCAAAAATATTACAGGGCTGCCAGTTTACTTTGGATCAAGGAATGGATAACTTTGGAGAATCAAAGATTGTTAAAGCTCGAAGGACATGACCTAATGAAGGGATGGCATGCCTTTATTTGGAACTCTGGAAACAAATCATATAAACATTTCAACAATCATACCATTAGGAAATCTTTAATTAGTACATGGCAACAAATTCAAAGTAAGCATTATATGAAAATCCCCGGTTGGTTGTCAACAATAGAAGCAATTACCCATCCAAATACACTATCAGAACAAAAAATATTACGATATAGAGAAATATTAGATACACAGGGCAAATTAAAAACTAGGGAAGAATTAAAAGAACAAGGAATAGCAATAGACTGGTGGCCCTATTCACAAATAAAGATAAGATATAGGAAGGATCAGGAGGAGGGGGGAATAGATTTGAAACAAAACAGGTTGGATAAATTATTAGAATCTAAAGAAGGGAAATTAATTTCAAAAATCTACAAATATTTACTCGAATATGATTTGGCAGAAGAATTAGTGAAAGGGCAGATGATAGCATGGGCGAGAAACATCGGGCACAGCCTACAGCTAGAAGACTGGGAAAGAGTTTGGGAAACTAATTACAGCATGACAAAATCGGTGGCCTACAAAGAAAATCATTATAAGATGTGGTATCGATAGCACCTGGCCCCCGCAAGACTTGCGAAAATGTACCCAAATGTAGATCCGACCTGTTGGAAATGCAGAAAAACACAGGGAACCTTCTACCATGCTTGGTGGCTTTGCCCCGTCATTAAGAAATACTGGAACAAGGTAAGGATATGGATAAGAGAAATTACAGATTGTGAAATTGAATTAGAACCTGAGATTTTCCTATTGGGCATGATCAAAAAGAACATCCGAAATGACATAAAATACCTAATACTTCATATAATCACAGCGGCAAGATTAGTATTAGCACAATTCTGGAAAAGCGATCGATTGCCAACAGATCAGGAATTAATACAAAAAATATATACATGCGCAGAGATGGATAGACTAACCTTAGAGTTACAGGATAAGGAAGACTCTAAATATTATGAAACATGGAATAGATGGTACCAATGGATAAACCAGAGGAAAGGAAATGGCTAGAGAGGAAATTTAGAAGAAATCAATATAACAAAAAACAGCACTGTCAGAGGTATAGAATATGGAATACTTTATTGTATGTTTATATATATGTACATATAATATATATATTTATATAGAATAATGGAAATTAGTTAATAGGTGACGTTTATGTACTGTATATGTAAATTTGTCTCTCAATTGTGAGAAACTTGTACGTGTTTTTTTTTAAATGTTCTTTCTTTTAAACAATAAAGTTTATATTGAAAAAAAAAAAAAAGGTTTTGGTTACCACCTTTAGAGTGCTCCATGGCTTAAGACCGGGGTATCTACGAGACCGCCTTCTGCCACCAGTAGCCTCTCACCGACCAGTACACTCCCATAGAGAGGGGCTCCTCAGGGTGCCGTCGGCCAAACAGTGTCGACTGGTGGCCCCCAGGGGGACAGCCTTCTCTGTGGGGGCACCCGCCGTCTAGAACGAGCTCCCCCCAGAAATACGGAGGATCCCGGACCTGCACGCTTTCCACCGTGCCATCAAAATATTTCTTTTCCAGCAGGCCGGCCTGGCCTAACCTCTCTTTTAAACTTTTTTAAAAAAAAATTTAAATTTCTAATATTTTAAATTTGTCTTATGAATTTGGGATGTTTTAAATTTCGTTCTCTGCGCCAATTATTTAATTGTATTTTAATGGTTTTTTAACATTTGTATTATATGTATTTTATTTGGCTGTTCACTGCCCTAAGTCCTTCGGGAGTAGGGCAGTATACTAACTAACTAACTAACTAACTAACTAACTAACTAACTAACTAACTAACTAAATAAATAAATAAATAAATAAATAAATAAATAAATAAATAAATAAATAAGGAACAAAAAGGAAAGGCCAGTGTATAGCGGGCTTCAATGTGTGGCTAAAGGAGTGATGTAAAAGGAAAGACTTTGGTTATATTAGTCACGATGTCTGCAGCTCATCCAATGAAAAATTGTACAAAAGAGATGGTTTGTATTCATTAAAGAAAGGGACTGAGTTATTTCACATTAAATTCACAGATTTTCTGGAGAAACGTTCACATGGGGATAGATAAATATTTGATATAGAACATTTCTCTTTCCAGCAATCTAAAACTAATAGGGTTATCAGTGCATGTAACATAGATGTTTGTGCGGGTAAGAATATCCATCTTGCTGTCAAGAAAAATCAAGCATTCCATAGTGAGTGCCATACCATATGCATCAAACAAATAATAAGTAGGGGAATTAGTGGTCCAGAGGATAGCTGTAGTTAAGGCATTTGATAAAGTAGATCACAATCTACTACTTGGTAAGATAGAAGAATGTGGGTTAGACAACATAACCACCAGATGAAGTCAAAACTCGCTGACCAGTTGCACTCAACATGTAGTCCTCAATGGCGCTGCATCTACATGGAGGGGAGTGTAGAGTGGGGTATCCCAAGGTTCTGTTTTAGGGCCAGTACTCTTCAACATCTTCATCAATGATTTGGATGAGAGGATAGAAGGGAAACTGATCAAATTTGCAGACGACACCAAGCTGACAGGAATAGTCAACACTCCAGAAGATAGGCTTAAAATAGAGAAGGATCTTGACAAACTTGAACATTGGGCGCTATCTAACAAAATGAAATTCAGTGGTGAAAAAAGTTTCTACATTTAAGTAAGAAAAACAAAATGCACAGGTACAGTCTGTGACGGTGAACCTATGGCACGTGTGCCCGAAGTGGCACTCGGAGCCATGTTGCCTGGCACACATGGCATCACCCATTCCTCTTCCGGGTTTCTGGTGCACATGCGCATGCAATGATCAGCTGGCTTTTGTGCATACGGCAGTGCCGGAAACCATAAGAGCTGGTCTTCCCTTTTCTGGCATGCGTGCCGGCCAGTTTATCAGGGCATGTGCATGCACTACAGTAACCGGAAGTCTTGCTGGCTGGCGGGCATGTGCATGCCGGAACCCGGAAGTAACTTACCCGGTGTACACATGCCTCCTTGGCAGCTCCTCTTCCTGGTCATGGCCTTGATGAGTGTGCACGTGTGAGGTGCGCATGCGAAGTGCTCCCTTTTTGGCACCTGGTACCCTGTGTGCATGTGCACTCCCTTTTCGGCACCTGGTGTTAAATTTCTATATTAAATTTATTAACGATCAGGAAATAGAGCTAGAAAGTAAAAACTGAGAAAAGATTATTATATGATGAAAGTTATTATAGTTATCATGTACAAGTAAATATTAGAAGTTAAGATTATTATATATGTTTAAAGGAAAAAATAAGAGATGATGGACAGAAAGCTTATTAAGATAAGTAAATACTACTCTTATGTAATCATTGTCAATATTATTATTTATTTATTTCTTAAAATGAACTGTATAAAGAACATGAAAATAAATAAATAAATATGAATATGATGAAGTATGATAACTTTGTTATTTTGTTTGGGTTTCAGAAATTGAATGAGTGAACCAGATTTCTGTTTAATAATATTTATATTATGATTTTGGATTTCAGGGAAGAGCTTGGATTAGAGTAGCACTTATGGAAAAACACTTGTCTGAATATATTTCGGCAGCTTTGAGAGATTTCAAAACAACCAGGTATTAAATATTTTGTTAAATAAAGTAGATTTTAAGTTGCTATTTAAAATTCCCAGTTCTTGTTCTTTATGAGATTTAGTCAGGAAATGATAACTTGCATGTAAGGGAGCAAAGTGAAAACATGTATTTATATTCAGTGTTAAACCTTCATATGTTTATTTAAAATATTGGTGGTATATTTACTTATGACGGCTGGCTTTAAGGAGAAACAAACGATGAAACAAACATCATGACTTAATGATGCAATCTTTGTCCCTTTTTATATTTTTTTATTGCATACAGTACATTTATGTAAAGTGTAAGGGTTATACTGAAACACTTATTCTATAATTTTGTTGAAATCATGAGATTTTTTGGATGCTACTACTTAAAATCTGGTTTATGTACAAGAAATTAGAATTAATATTTGTTTCCTTAAATTAAACAATCACACATATATCCTATATTGAGAGATTTAAACATAAATATCCAGAAGGCAAGTAGCAGTATTTTGAATCCTTTGTTAAAGATTTTTAACCTAATATGAATTTTTTCATACTCCATGAACTCAGCAATTTCAGCATAATGGTAAGGAGAAAGTGGACAGGGAAAAGGATTTTTTTCCTTTCTCTCAAAGTAGTAGAACAAGAAGCCATCCAGTGAAGCTATGTATTAGAAAGGAGATAAAAGCAAACACTTCTTTACTGATTATAAAATGAATTTGTAGAATTCATTATCACAAGACATGATGTTGCCACCAAATTTAATGGGTTTATAGTGGAAGTAGATTAATTCATGGAGAACAGGGTTATCAAGCTTACTGATCTTGAAGGCACCCTGGTTTGGGCCTCCAAAAATGAATGGCAACGAACAATGGTGGGAAAGATGTAGCTTTCCACAGGCACTCTAGAGGCATCTGTAGGCTTATGTGAAAAAGAAAATGCAACACTAATATGGCTATTGGCCTGATCATGCAACACTGTTCTTATGCTCTGAATAACTCTAAAAAGATAGATGAGAGAAAGAAAGAGAGAGATAGAGAGATAGGAAGGATTTTAAAAAATAGTTCCTTTGTATCCCAATAGCAGCCTGAAAGTTAAAAAAAATAATGGTTAAGTTTTATTCTAAAAATATGCAGACATCTTTATTCTGAATAATTTGTTGTTTATAAATAGGCCCATAAATACATCAAATCCAAACAGTTCCATAGTATCCCTGATATGTATAAATTGAGTGCATCATTTAAATTACTGTACAAATGAATAGTTTTCTTAGCAATATAAATTAAAATTTGGTAGGTCTTGGCATTAACCACCATCAGTAATCTGAATATTTGGCATGTTATTTGAATAATTAGAATTTAATCTTTTTCTAGACGATTCTATGAAGATGGAGCAATTGTATTGGGAGAAGAAGCAAACATGCTAGCTGGCATGCTGCTTGGACTCAATGCTATTGATTTCAGGTATTCATTCTTGTGAAAGTGAAATGAAATAATTATATTTAGTAAAATATAGTTGATTTTGTAATTAACTCATTATAGGTCAAAATGTCATATTTAAAATTTGTAAATGTATTTATTTATTTGATGGAAGTAACATTTTAAAATATAGAATATTCTAGTCCAACCCTCTGCTCAGGCAGGAAACCCTATGCCATTTCAGACAAATGGTTGTCCAGTCTCTTCTTAAAAACTTCCAGTGTTGGAGCATTCACAACTTCTAGAGGCAAATTGTTCCATTGATTAATTGTTCTAACTATCAGGAAATACTTCTTAATTCTAGGTTGCTTCTCTCTTAATTAGTTTCCATCCATTGCTTCTTTTTTTTTTAAAACAAAAACAAAACATAAAACCACCATCATTCAAATACAATCACAAACAGTGTGTCGATCGGTTAAAATTCTTTTCTGCACAATCCCATATCCAAAATTACCAATTATTTAATTTCTCTTATTTAACAGTTTATATATCCCTTATATATTATTATACTCATTTAGCCATTATTTAATAAAGGCTTAACTTCCATAAAAAAACACTTCATATATTTTATCATTACATTAATTTCATATTTTCATGTTTTATTATCTAGCCATTGGTAGAACAAATCCCAAATCAAATAATATTGTTTATCTTCCTGTTCTCTAATTTCAAATGTCAATTTACTCATTTCAGCACAGTCCATAATTTTCTTAATGACTTCATCATCAGTAGGTATCTTCTTGCCTTTTCAATTTTTAGCAAAATCAATTCTAGCCGCTGTTAAAACATTCACAATTAAATATCTCAGTTCTTTGTTACATATTTCTGGTAAAATCTCTAATAGAAATATCTCTGGTTTAAAGTCAATGTGTTTCTTTGTCATTTTTTCCAACCATGTGTAGATTTTAGTCCAATATCTTTTAGCTTCTGCACATATCCACCACATATGGTAATATGATCCTGGAGTCTGATGACATTTCCAACATTTCTCCGATTTATTCTTAAACATTCTGGCTATTCTCGTCGGGGGTAAATGCCACCTGTAAAACATCTTATACAAATTCTTCTTATATGCTGTAAACATTGTCATTTTATAATTTTGCAATCACAATTTTTGCCATTTCTCTAAATCAATCCCATGACCAAAATTCCCCCCCACCCCGCTATCATTGTTTCTTTAACTTATTCCTCTTCCAATATTACCTCTAATAAATAACAGTACAATTTTTTATTTACATAATCATCAGACCCCATTAAAATCTTACCTAAATTAGTCAAAACATTATAAAAACCTCCTTGTTTAAAATCTTCTTCATATCTAGAACGTATGTGCAAAAACCAATCCTTCTTAAAATCTTGTTCTTCCAATTCTTGCTTTGATTTAAGTTCACCCTTTTCATCCATTAATTCACTATATGTAACAATTTGTTTTCTTCTAAATATTACTGAATAAGAAAATGCTTGATACCCAGACTGGAATTTTCAAATAATGTTGTTTTTTAATCTTCTCCCAATTTAATAGCAAAGCCTCATGTATATGCTGTCTTCTAAAATACCCCTGTATTTTTGTTGCCTTATACCATAAAAAAGCATGCCATGCCACGCCATCAGCAAATCGTGACCTTCTAAATTCAATAATCTAGTATTTCTTAAAGTTATCCATTCTTTAATCCACATCAAACTTGTAGCTTAATAATAAAGTTCCCAATTAGGTAGGCCAAAACCCCCTCTCATCGTAGCATCTTGTAACAACTTTAATTTTATCTTCGCCTTCTTTCCCAGCCAAATATATTTTAACACTGTTTTGTTCAATTCTTCAAAACATTCTTTACCCAATCTAATTGGAATTATCTGGAACAAATATAAAATTCTAGGCAAAATATTCATCTTAATAGTTGATATCCTTCCAATCAAAGAAAGCTGTAAGTTTTCCCATTTCGCCAAATCTGTCCCTATCTGTTGTTTAAGTTTATTATAATTATTTTCTTTAAGCGTGCTACATCTTGCCATCAAATATATCCCCAAATTTTTAACTTTATTTGTGACCTGCATTTTTAATACTTCCGCCAATTCTTCTTTTTGGTTTACCAACATATTTTTGGTCAAAATCTTTGTTTTATCTTTTTTGATTTTCAAACCAGCTACTTTCCCAAATTCTCCAATTTTGTCTATCAGTATAGTTATTGATGTTAGTGGATCTTCAAGAATAAAGACCAGGTCATCAGCAAATGCTTGCAATTTATATTCTTCTTTTCAAATTTTCATTCCTTTTATGTCTTTTTCTTCTCTTATACTTCTATTTATTAATATAAACAACAAAGGGGACAGTGGACAACCTTGTCTAGTACCTTTTTTTATCTCAATAGAGTCTGTCAATTCTCCATTTATCATTACTTTTGCCGTTTGTTTATGATATATAGCTCCTATTGCTTGAATGAATTTTCTGTTCCAAAGCCCATCTGTTCCATTTGAAGCAATATAAAACACCAATTTACGTTATCAAAAGCTTTCTGGGCATCTAAAAATATCAAAGCCATTTGTTTTTCAGGATGAGCTTCATAGTATTCCAAAGTGTTCAGAATTATTCTCATATTGTCTCTTATTTGTCTTTTTGGCAGAAACCTATTTTGATCTGAATGTATAAAGTTATTTAAATATCTTTTAAGTCTTTCTGCCAACATTGAAGCAGGGATATAGGTCTATAGTTTTTGATTTGTTGTGGGTCTCTAGCCTCTTTTGGAATCAATGTAATATATGCCTCAGACCATGTCTATAGTAATCCTGTATAATTTTTTTCTTCTCTTTATTTCCAAATTTACTTTGTCCTTGGTCATTGATTAATTTTATTATTTTTCTTGATTCTCTCTCTTTTTTCAACTTATACGCTAACCATCTTCCTGGTTTATTGGCATTCTCAAAGTAGTTCTGTTTAGTGCTTCTAATTTTTTGAGCTAGTTCTTCTTTCTCCAGTAAGTCCATTTTATGTTTTATTGTATCCATTTTCACTTTAACATCTTTTTTATGTGGACATTTCTGAAGCTGTTTTTCAAATCTCTTATAATCCTCTTCCAATATTTTGTGTGTTTGCCTTTTCTTCACATTTCTCTTCCTTGTATAATCCATTATCAAACCTCTAGTATAGGCCTTCATCGTATCCCAAAGATTTTACATCGAAGTATCTTCTTTCGTATTCTCCTTGAAGAAGAAAGCCAATTCTCTCTCCATTTTCTGTACAAAGTCTTTTTCTTTTAATATAGTATTTTTTAAAGTCCATCTAAATCTTCTCCTTTGTCCTTTCCATTTCACTGTCACTAGATTATGATCTGCCCAGGTATTTGCTTCTATCTCAATTTGTTCTATGTTTAAAGTCAATTCCATTGTTGTTCATATCATATCTAATCTAGACCAAGATGAATGTCTGTCAGAATAAAAAGTATATTGTCTATTTTTCCCATTTCTATTTCTCCATGCATCTTTTTAAGTTTATTTCCTCAGTCATCTTGAAGAAAGATTTCGGTAATATCTTTTTAGTATGTCTTATTGCTTTATGTGTTTTATAATCCAAATCTCCATCCACTATACCATTAAAATCTCCCATCATGCAGATATTATCATATTCCAATTCCGTTATTTTCATGTGCAATTTTCTATAAAAGTCACTTTGATTATTATTTGGATCATATATGCTACTAAAAGAATTTTTGTATTGCTATCCATTATCTCCACCATCAGAATTCTTCCTTCTTCATCTGAATATATTTGCTCAGCTAGTATTGCATTTCTAATGTATAAAACCATTCCTCTTTTTTTACATTGTGGCAATGATGTGAAGATTTTCCCTAATTTTGGATATGCCAATATCTGTTCATGTTGCTTTTAATTTGCTTCTTGTAGGCAAATTATATCAAGCTTTAGTTATTCTAATTTGTGAAATATCTTTCTTCTTTTAACAGCTGAATTAAATCCATTTATATTTATTGAAATTAATTTTCTCTCTTTCATATTCATACTTTATATGCGGGCTTTGCTGCTCTAGTTGTTCTTACTTCACACTGTTCTTTGTGTTCCACAATCCCTCCTACTGCGCCTTCTGCTTTTTCAATCATTGCCAGTTCCTCTTCTTGAAGTTCTACTGGTACTACTGTCGTTTGGAATTCCATTTCTGTTTCCTTTTCTTTAAAAATTCTGCATAAAATGCTCTCGCTTTGTCTATTGTATCTATTCTATATCTTTGAAGTTGCCATGTTAACACTAATCCCTCTGGTACCAGCCATCTATAGTTCACACTTTTTTGAAGTAATATTTTGGTCAAAAATTGATATTCTCTCCGCATCTCTCTCACTTTTCTTGGTATTTGCTTCAAAACCACAATTTCTTTCTCCTTATACTTCAGTGTTTTTTGTCTGGCAATCTGCAGTATTTGTGTTTTAATTGATTTCTTAGTAAATCTTATATGCACTTCTCGTGGTAGTTTATTACGCATTGCATATCTAGTGTAGACTCTATATATCTCATCCACACCACACATCATCTTCTCCTTAGTAATCTCTAATGCTTCAGCCAACATTCCTATCATTATTTCTGCCAAGTTTTCTCCATTCTCTTCTTCTACATTTTGAAATCTGAGCTAAATTCTGATTTGTCCATCTACCATCCAATTAATCCACTCCTGTCACATTCATCTTCTCCCAATCTATTATCTATATCTTTAATTTTTTCCTATTTTTGCTCCTCATTTTTCTCAAATTTTTGCAGTCTCTCTTCATATTTCAACATCATTTGCTGTGTACTGGTCACTTTTTCATCTGTCTTGAGTAGTAGTTGTTCCATCCTCTGAATTGTTTGAAAAATCATCTGCAGTGTTACATCTTTCTCCTTCTCTTTTTCTTTCTCCTTCTCCTGCTGAAGCATCATCTGAATTGATCGCTGTCCTCCAGATGGCGACAAGGCAGGCGTAGCTGAAGCAGATCCAACTGTCGCTACTTTTCTATTCATTCTATCCAAAATTCGCCAAAGGCTAAGAACAAAAAAGAAAAAGCCCAAAAGAGTGAAAAATGTAGAAAGAAAAAAAAGGGAAGGGGAAAAAATAAACACTTCTTCAGGTTCTTCAAAATCTTAATCCACTTTGAGAGAAAAAAAAAAGAAAATTTTTTAATTAATCCCACTGGTAACAAAAATACACTGAAGGGAAGTCAAATTAAAAAAGGAGAAATAAAAATGAAAAAGAAGAAGACCAAATAGCCAACTAGAGAGAGAGAAAAAAAAAAACAAAAATCAATCTTCAGGCTCTTGAACACCTTAATCCAACTCTGTATAAGAACAAAGAAAAGGAAGCCCATCAGAAATATTTAAGCAGGGGAAGTGTACAGAGAGTAAATAATAAAAAATAAAAGGGAATTTCAGTTTCTTCTGCAGTACTTCTGCCCAAGCATTAACAAATCTCTCTCCTTTGCCTCAGACTCCTATTTCTGATAGTTCCCCGAAGAGCACCTGAAAGCAGATAGTTCCAAACTCTCTCAGATGTCCTTCCAACAATCTTATCAGCAAAAAAATTCAGAGTCCTTGGGTTATAGCAACAATGTTATATAATTGTTTCAACTTGCTGCTTTAATAGAAAAGAATAGCAAAATTTCCAATCCAATAGATGGCAGTATTACACACTCTCCTATTTTCCCCACTATTATAGTCCAAAAATTCTTTGTCAGTAAAAAAAAATAATAATGAAAAATTAGAAAAATCTTCAGAAGAGAAAAAAAGAAAAAATTCAATCCAAAAGGAAAAATATTTCAAGTATAAGGCACAAAGGCTTGCAGATGTTAAACTCTCAATTCTATCAATCTTTTTCAACCCAGTCCCGGTCAAAAGCAAAACAAAAATTTAAAGCTCCACCAATGTTAATAATTTGAGAATAGAAAATGACTCCTGCTTAATTTTGCCGCTTGATTTCTTTTTAAATCCAATTTAATTCCCACTTCAATCTCAGGGTGTTCTTTGCATTTATTTAGATTGAAAGTCTCTCACCGCATCGACTCACTGTCCTTCTTCTTTTCCTACCTCGCTGCTCCAACATTCCACTGATTGGGTAACCTTCACTCTCATTGGATCAACTGAGTGCCATTCAAACTTCCTCTACAGCTTGGTCACGCCCACACCTTCTGCGCATGTCCAGTCTTTTCACTCAGTCACTGGTGATTAGACTGGTGTGCCTTTTGTTTATGCTAATTAGTGATAGTTTTACCTTAAATGGTGCAATTTTAAATTGTTTTGGATTCTGGAGGGTTGTGCTTTTACGAATAATTGTAAGTGGCGCTGGGCGGCTTCGGCGTTTCCCGGCTGGGACGCCAGCCGCCATTAGACTTTATTTCTGTCAGCGCGAAGGAGGGGGACCTTGAAACGGTCCGAAAGCAGCCGTTGGTGCCGCGAGCGAGGAGCTGTTTACCTGGCGTGCCGGCAGAACCTCCCTCGCTCTCGCAACCCTCTACAACTAACTAAAATTCCAATCAGCGGCTTGGGAGTCCCTGCCTTGCGAGCAAACTCCTTATCACAGGGGGGCACTTCGCAAATGGGAATCGCGGACAGACAGCAAGGTCGGAGAGAAGTGAGGGAGGCTACACTTGGCTGAGCGCAGTGTGTGGTCCCGACATCGTGCTCGCCATTTTAGCCGCCGGATTTGCACCCAGACGCCATTTTGCTAGAGCGGTCTAGGGCAGCGACTACCGCCCAAGCCTTGGTCGGCTAATAAAGGGAGCTGTCCCAACTTCAGCAGTTACTATGGCTGCCACCCCACTGCTAGAAAAAGGGCTTCCCTGGGATCGTCAGGATGTGCCCTCCACTATCACAGTCAAAACAAGACTGTGATGTCCAAGAAGGACCATCCAGCAGCGGGGCTTTCAGCGGCGATCCTGGAGCCCAGGAATCCTCCATCTGTTCCGTCGCAACATCAGCTCCTCCCCCCTATCTATTGTTTCTTATTTTGCTCTCATGCTTTGGAGAATAGGTTGATTCCATCTTCTTTGTGGCAGCCTCTTAGATATTGGAACATTGCTATCATGTCAACCGTAGTCCTTCTTTTCATTAAACCAGACATACACAATTCCAGCAACTATTATTTATATGTTATAGCCTTCAGTCCCCTAATCATCTTTGTTGCTCTTCTCTGCACTCTTTCTAAAGTCTCAGCATCTTTTTTACATTGTGGTGATCAAAACTATATTGCAGTATTCCAAGTGTGGCCTTACCAAGGCATTATAAAGTGGTATTAACACTTCATGTGATCCTGATTCTATCCTTCTGTTAATGTAGTCTAAAACCGTGTTGACTTTTTTGGCAACAGCAGCACACTGCTGGCTCATATTTAAGTGATTGTCCACTAGGACTCTCAAGATCCTTCTCATGGTTGCTAGTATTGAGTCAGGTACCACCTATACTTTACCTGTACCTTTGGTTTTTCTTGCCTAAATGTAGAACCTTAATTTTTCACCATTGTATTTCATTTTGTTAGATAGCACCCAATATTCAAGTCTGTCAAAGTTCTTCTGTATCTTAAGCTTATCTTCTGGAGTGTTGACTAATCCTGCCAGCTTGGTGTCATCTGCAAATTTGATCAGTTCCCCATCTATCCCCTTATCCAAATCATTGATGAAGATATTAAAGAGTACTGGATCTAAAACAGAACCTTGGGTTAACCCACTGCATACTTCCCTCCATATAGATGCAGTTCTATTGAGGATTACATGTTGAGTGTGGGTGGTCATCCACTTACAAATCCAACTGATGCTGTTTAACCCACATTTTTCTATTTTATCAAGTAGTAGGTTGTGATCTACTTTATCAAATACCTTAGTGAAGTCAAAGTAAGTTATATTCACAGCATTCCTCTGGTCCACTAATTTTTGTCATTTTGTCAAAGAATGCAATAAGATTTGTCTGGCATGACCTGTTTTTGACAAACCTATGTAGGCTTTTGTTTATGACTTTGTTTTCCTCTAGGTGTTTACAGATTCATTGCTTGATTATCTTTTTCAGAATCTTCCCAGGTATTGAGGTCAGGCTGATAGGTCTGTAGTTTCCTGGATCCATTTTCCCCCTTTTTTGAAAATGGGAACTACATCAGCTCTTTTCCAGTCCTCTGGCAGTTCCCCGGTGCTCCAGGATCTTTGAAAGATATAGTTCAGTGGTTCTGAGATCACGTCTGCCAGAACCCTGGGATGTAACCCATCTGGTCCTGGTGATTTGAACTCGTCTAGGGTAGACATGTGCTCGATTGTTTGTGATGACATAGACATATCCATGCATTGTTCTGGGCAATATCACAAAACTAATTTTCCATTTATTTCTTTTAGAACTTCGTTAAATTATTTCTACATCTAACCTATAGTTCTGGTATTTCCTGATAGTCTCCTGTCCATGCATTGACCATTTCTGATCTGCTTATCTTTCTAGATCTCACCCAAGACTTGCTCATGTGGAGCTGCATTATACATTATAATTACATTTTAAAATTATTCTGTATGAGGGATTTCAATCAGAGATTAAAAGTCCCTCTTTTATATATGTTGTGGCTAGTTAGTGATAATGAGTGGCAACTTAGTTGTTCTCTTTGATTTTATCTACGAAGATTGTAAGATTAAATAGATTATTTTGCTTTTCTTAAAACATATTGAATTCATATATAATATAAAATCATTAAAAAGCAATATTTGGAAAAAGTGTTCTTTAAAAACCCCACAATGACATTTTGATTGCTGGTGAAATGAGGGTATGTAAGAATCTACATGTAAAGTTGAATTTTCTCATATTAAAACTTGTTCTTGCATTGGTGATTTTATGAAAAAATGAATTAAGTCCTGACATTATTCAATACCAATATGTTTTAATGTTCTTAATTTCTGATTTCTCACTCCACATCAGCTTCTGCCTCAAAGGTGAAGCTTTGGATGGCAACTATCCAGCTGTGATAGATTATACACCATATCTGAAATTCACCCAAAGGTATCTGTTAAGCCTGTAAAGTTCATCTGTGCTTTAAAGTTTTATTGTAACATATTTGTTATTGTTTTTATTTCACATATTGTTTTTAATACTTTGTGATACTTTCAACTGGGAAGGGAAAGAATGAAGGAGGAGTTCCAAATGCCATTGAAAATGTTTTTTTGTTTTTTTAAAATATTTTATTAGTTTTAAAAGTAAAACAATGGACATTGCTCAACGTCTCTGGTTTCTAACATTTGCGTCTAAATCAAGTTAATAATCTATTCCTTGATCTATATACAAATTTACAAAAAGAAAAAAAAATTTTTTTTTTTGGAACATAACATGTATCACAAATGAATTGTTTTCTCATGGCCAGTCATACAACACAGTAGTTGAAGGACTGCCCTCAGAGACATTTCCCTGTAGCCATTGTATTTATTATAAATATAAGTGTAAATTAGCTTTTTTCACCAATCCTGTAGATAGACAGAGACATTCTCTGCAAGGTTTACACCACATGCAAGGAATACACTGTAAGACCAGCATGTATTGTGTATGCCATAGAGTAACTAACAACAACAATATCTCCTGTCTTAATATATATTCAGACAAATCTGTTACAACTCTCTCTTCCCTATGTCCCACTTTTCTATTTGGTGGTCACATAAATATGTTTTTCTTTCTTTACTTGAACTACTGATAGAAGAAAATATTTCCTTGAGTTTAGTTTAATATAGAAGACAAGTTGACAGACGTTAGAAAGAAAAGGGATACATTGATCATAGATATAGTGATAGAAGATATAGGAAGTGGTAGTTATATACAAGTTTTATGTAAAGGGAACCATCCAGTATCTGCACAATACGAGAATCTGTTCTGGATCATGGAATCATAAGTCCTTTTCCTTCTTACACCTGTAACAACACAAATACATGAACAAGTTTAAATCATCCTTAGCTATATGGGATTAAAATAGTATCGTATTTCCCCTTTTTATTTCAACACCATCTTACAGTAGCTGGAAGGTATGTAAATTATGTTAGATTTTGTACCTGTTGTCTTGGAGGTAATCTACATGATAGCAGTTACTTGCAACAGGAGTAATAGAGGCAGAATTGGGCTCACCAGTGAGGAGAGGAAACTGATCCATGAAGAAGTAGATAGCACTTCTCAGCAGTGAAGAAACGCTTAGCGAATGGATGATGTATTAGCTTTTGTTTTTAGGCTTTATAATAATTTTTGCAGATTCATTATTATAAGATCCATCTCTTATTGGAATATCTAAAAATAAGCAATTTCGAATAATTCAGTTTTTTCCATTTAAATTTTGCAAGTTATTGTTCTTAGCTTTTGAGTTTGATTTCTCAGTTCTGACAGCATCAGTAGTGATGAGGAAGAGCTAAGAACACTGGGCAGTAGTGGTAGTGAAAGCAGTACTCCAGAAAACATTGGTCCTCCTTTCAGCATGGATGAGAATAGCTGGTACAACAAGTGCAAACGGGTTGAACAGAAATACCTTCTCACTCTGGAACAAAAGGTAAACATTAATTGAGATAAAGTGGCTGAAAATATTTGGTATATTACAATTGTTACAATAACATTAATTCAAAGATTTAATTTAAAAAATATTCTTACAAAATGAAAATTATTATTTATTTAATGTAGCATTGTAATATTTATTAGTTAGCTATGGTTCTGGGAACAAGGTAATAAGAAAACTGCTTTTGGTCACACAAGACTTACTTCTTAGTCAGATAATATTCCTTAAGTTATTGCATCTATTGAAGCTGAAATGCAGCCAGAAAGCCTTCTGGCAGAGAAAACCTCAATTGTTCTTTTTCTTCCATCTTTTTCTTTTTCTTTTTCAAATTCTATCTCTTGTTCCTAAAGCAAGAAAAAGCACAGCAAGCAAAACTTAGTGGTAATGTAGGAATTTCTCTCTTAGTAAAGTCTTTAATCATTGATAGCACAGATAAAAATTTATGCTCTATCTTTCAAATTTGTATTGCGCTTTCTGATATATGGAAGAGGCATGCATACAAGAAATGTGAAGCAGTTCAGTTTTTATTACATATATAGACAAAATGCAATATATATATATATATATATATATATATATATATATATATATATATATATATATATATATTCATCATTTTGATCACAATGCAACAATATTTAATGTCTTCCTAAAGTGATATTCTTTTTCTAGTTTATTAAAGATATTAAAAGTCTTGATTTAAGTTTTTATTACTGAGTTTGCTTCACTTTTTTTACCCTCTAGTGAAACTTCTACTCTCAAAGACAGTTGGATTTGTTCTATAGGGACTGTTTCAATACTATAAACAATTTCCAAGGAGTAGTTGCAGATCTCTACTTTTCTGTTCTTTGGCATTTTTGAATCTCTGTCAGTAAGCTTGCTAATCAACCCATATAAAAGACTGGAAAGAGGGAATAATATTCTTACATAACATTTTAGATGGACATTTGTAAGTCATTCAGTTTTTCTCTCAGTTGTAAATGCTATTATTCCTATTTTCAGTTCTGCTTTAGTTTTCTGTAACTAATATTCTTGAGGTTCAACTGAGTGGAAATGTAAGCATTATTTTTTGAAATCTAAAAGCTGCCTGTTTGCACATTATTCTGGATGGCTTACACTTTACACAATGAGCAATCATCACCCTCTCCCAAATCCTAGAAGGACAGTCAGATTATCAATCCATCCATACTATACATTCTGGTTATCTAGACCTTTAAATAGACACAGAAACTATGTATGTAACTAGCAAATAACTTCAGTATCTACATTTAATATATAATCAGTGATATAGTCCATTTGAATTATTTTTTTCTTAGGTTATATATCATCCAGCCCTCGTATCAAATCAAATATGTTGTCAAAATACTTTTAAAACTAATAGTTCATGAAATACTTACGTTTCTAGGGTTATCTAGAAGAACTAGTACGCCTCAGAGAGACTCAGCTGGCTGAATCCATCTCTCAGAAGAAGGCCTTGCAGCAGAAGATAGAAACTATGAATCTGGCTCATAAAATGGAAAAGGAACAACTTGAGTACATCATTGTGGAACTGCAGGATCAGCTGTGAGTTGGTTATGATACAGATGTTTTCTAAGTACGCTCTTGACTAAGAGGTTTTTTTTGGTCTTTATACAGAAAAGTACAGTTAAAATGTTGAGAAGTATTAATGTTGCTCAGTTACTAAAATTAACTTTTTTCTTTACAAAAGGTAAAAAGGTTGTAAGTTGCATCCTAGTTTTTTAAACTCACCTTTTTTCCTAATGTTTAATTTTTAAATATTGTAAATATTATATAACATATTAAGAATCATCAATTCCAGTAAGCAGATACAACATTCAACTTTTGGTGCCATCTAATCAATTCAGCACCTAATTACTGTGTTAACCAAACTAACATCAATACACAAAATAGAAGCATTGGTATCTTTTCTACCTGAAATATTTGTCCCAAGGAATAACTAGATAATCTTTATTGCTTCAGTGAAATTATACAATTTAGTTTTGAAACTTTGAGAGTTCTAAGCACCAATCATTTCCCCTTCAGAAATTGTTAATTTATATTCTTTTGGGGGGAGAGTTATGCTGATGACAGAAAGTGACTTTTTTTCCTTTTTCATTACTTAAAAAACATTCTAGAATGTGTCCCAAATATGCTTTTAAGTCACCTGGACTTTGTTTTTTGCTTGAAAACATTTTGCTTCTCATCCAAAAAGTTTCTTTAGTTCTAGATTGAAAAAGCTTAGATGAGAAGCGAAACATTTTCAAAGGGAAAAAATCGAGAAAGTCCAGTTGCCTTTTGAAAAACACATTTAGGATAACTATGACCTGGAATGATGAGAATGATGAGGCTTTTTCAGAATTTTCACTAAATAATATCTTGGGATAAGAATGGACTGTTCTCTTTATCAGAAAATTTGCCAGTTTTCAAAGGAAAGTATGTAAAAAGGGAAACATAATTTAATACATTTTCTTTATAGTTTATGAAGAAAACTGGATGATTGAAACTATTTTAGCACTATTCTCAGTAAAACATGATGTGGTTTTTAATCCTGATGCTTAATTGCCAGAAATAATGAAGATATGACTGTTAGTTTTGAAAAATTAAGAGTGTAAAGATACCACATTATATACTCAGCAGTAAAGATTTGTTGACTTCATTTAGTTACTTAGTAAAGAATAAAAAATACACATGATAATATAAATTAACATAAATTAACCCAAACTCTAAAGCTATAAAATAAAAATATTAATGTTAGAGTTTATCTGATGCTCACAGTAAAAAGGAATTAAGAAAGCTATTTTGCATCCCTCATTAGTCAGGATTATTTGTTTTCTTCTCTCACTCTTGGCTTGTACCCAAAATTTGCCCACCATTAATTATGTTTCTAGGTATGACCTATCAAGCAAAAAACTGACTTGTAATTCCTTTTGATTATAGTGTGGTGGATCTTAGAAATGAGATATTAAGAGAGTGTCATGCTACACATCTTTTAGAAAGATAAATTCCATTCATTCAACTTTCCAGAAGTCTTTTATATTATATTAGTATATTATACACTGCTCAAAAAAATAAAGGGAACACAAGCAGAAGACATCCGACATCTGAATGAATGAAATAGCCTTATTAAATACTTGTTAGTTACATACAGTAGTTTTGTGTTCCCTTTAGTTGTTTGAGCAGTGTATAAACTACTGTATGTAAAGAACGAAGTATTTAATAAAGCTATTTCATTCATTCAAATCTCGGATGTTTTCTGCTTCTGTTCCCTTTATTTTTTTGAGCAATATATATAAGTTATATATAATACAAATACAATACAAATACAATAAAATACAAATACAAAAACAATACTGTATTTATCCAGTAGAATCGCTGCAGTCAGTTTCCCTTTTCTAATTGGAAAATTGATATATTCAATAAACTGTAGATGACAAGGAAGAAGTTAAGCACATCATCAGTCTTGAATGCCTTTGTGCCATCAAGAAATTTAAGTCAGCCCATCTTGAATTCTGTGACTCTTATCTACCCCCAATTTGCTTTGACCATTAATAGTACAGATTTTTGTAGAGAACATTAGTACACAATAAACCTATATCCATTTGAATTGCCTGGACTCCTGATTTCCTGCATAAGTAATAATAAATAATTGACATAAATAATCTGTTTGATTCAGAGTACTTTTGATTATATTTAAGTTACAGTAACTTCGACTTGATATCATGAAATATTATCCCTGGAGGTTTGAACTAACCTAATCCTGCAGGCTTTAAACAATCTTTTGAAATCTGTTTCTCTCCCACCCGCATTCTCGGGTCTAAGTTGGGATCTGTCTATCTGGTGTGCATTATGTTTCACTTAGAGCAGGGGTGTCAAACTTGATTTCATTGAGGGCCGCATGAGGGTTGTGTTTGACCTCAGAAGGCTGGGTTGTGTGTGTGTGGCTGGGGGTGGGGGTGGTCATGGTGGGTGTGGTTGGGGTGGGCGTTTGACACAGGCTCAATATGCATTTTCTCCCCTTTTCTTTTTTTTCACAGTTCTTTACTATAACCATTTCCTTCTATCAGATATTACTGGCAAACATTTATTACTTATTCTTCATACTCCATTAAAATTTTTATTTCTAAATTTATACCCTATTGTTTAATAGTAAATTGCTTTTCCAGGCAGAAAAGCTATTTATACTATTGTATTTTTATTAGTCAACTAATAATAAAAATACAATATCATAAATAACAGGGTAATACAAGACCTAACAATTATAGATTATTGATTGTAGATTAAGTGGACCTACACTTAAAAAAGGGCTGTGCGGAGGCCCTACACGGCCCACTTTTGGCTGGCAGAGCGCTACTAGAGGCCAGGGAGGCCAGAAATGGGCCATGCAAGGGCTGCACGCAGCCACCCGCGGCCTGTTATTGGCTGACAGAGGCACAGCAGGCCAGCCCTTTGATATTTCCAGGCTGGCCCTGTGGGCCAGAGTTACATTCCTGACTTACAGTATGCTCTTCCCCCATTATATTTATTTTTGATCTGTTTTTATTATTATCTCTTTGTAATCTATATTCTACTCAATGTTTAATTGGTCAGCCTTTTAAATTAAATTATGAATAAATATAAATGAATAATCTGTTACCAGAATAAAGAAACAAACATATATACATATATACACATAATATTTCACAAAACCAAGATTTTTTTCCTAACGTGTCTCCATTTTTGATGAAGCACTCGGCACAATAATGGTCTTTACCAGTCTTTCAGACCTAAATATATAGTGCAGTAGGTTGCCTACACCTCATTCATGTATAGTACAGTGGCTACATATACTCAGGTGAGTGGAAATCCTAGCTATTAAATTATTCAGCTACTATGCAAATGTTTAGGTATACTGGTCAAATTATATGTTTCTGTTGGAGAAATCTTACAGTAGAGATTTCTAATTGGTGCTAGTGATATTTACTTACTTACTTACTTACTTACTTACTTATTTATTTATTTATTTGACTGATTAATTGATTGATTGATTTTCCATTCATCTCAATCACAATGTTACTTTGGGTAGCTTATAATGTTAAAAAAGAATAAAACAATGCAACAATATACAGTATGTACAATAAGAATAAAACACTATAAAAATATAAATTACCAGCTATAACTAAAGCTAAAAGGTAGATGGGGAAGTAGGCTGAGTGGGAGAAAGGTGGGATCTGTAATTAATCTATCAACCACTTCCAGCATCATGTTCCCCCAGGACCCCAGGCCATCTGGAAGAACTAAGTCTTCAAGCTCTTCTGGAAAGGTGGGAGGGTGGGAGCTGATCTCACTCTGCGGGCAAAATGTTCCAAAGGGCAGAAGCAATGGCAGAGAAGGCTCTTTTTTCTGGACCCTGCCAACTGGAATTCCCTTCTGCATGCCCCTGCCATGGGAGGGGTGGGCCGATCCCAGTGGGATGAGATGGTTCCTCAAGTAACCTGGAGCCATGCCATGATCATCTTTAAAGTTAATAACATCTTGAATTGCCAGCAGCCAGTGCAGCTCATGAAACAGTAGTATCACATGAGTGACTCTAGCGGCCCCAAAAGCTGACTGTGCCACAGTATTCTGCAACAGCTGTAGCTTCTGAATGCTCTTCAAGGGTAGCCCCATGTAGAGCATGTTTAACAATCCAAACACGAAATGACATTAAAGATTATGAGTGATAAGGACAAAAGAAATTGATCACTCTGGGAACAGATCACCTTTCAAAGACTCTATTTTTATTCGTCTTTTGGGGCTTTGATAACTATCACTAGTGAATGAATTATGACCACTTGAATTATCATTTATCAATACCATACACTTTTTACATTTTCATATCTAAAGATACAAGGTCTGAATTATATTGTAGTCAGCAAATTCTAGGTTGGAAATTTAATCCTTAGGAGAGCATGAAGTGCCAGCACTGAAAAAAAAAAGAGAATATATTTAAAAATTATAATATTTTCCTAGGCAAGGTGTTTATTTAATGAATTTATATTGTTCCTCTATTCAACATATGATAGGACAGTGTAGATCACAATAAGTAGCAATAATTAAAAAATGCATAATAAAGCATAAATGTATAGTCCAAAATAACTACATATAAACACATATGTACTGGGTAGGGGGAACCCTCATCCAGTAGATTTTATTAATCCCATCCAAAGTTTGAAAAACAGGTGTAATGCTTTTTGAAAGGCAAGCGGAGTAAGGATCAACTGAATCTCAGAGAGGAAGCTTTTTTAAAGGATAGGAACAGCAACAGAAGAGACACATTTTCTTGGTCTTAGCAGGTCAAATTTGCCTAAATGAAGGAACCTTTAAACATACTAACCCTACCAGATCTTACTGGATAGGTAAAGGTAATTGGAAGTAGATCATCAGACCAATCCAGCCTGGTCCAGTACCATATCATATATGTAAGAAATGACATTAAGGAGTTTCTTGCTTTGTTTTTTGTATCTCTCTATTTAATCTTAGTAGGAAATACAACATTACTTTTGTGACCTTCCTTGTGGCCTGCTCATTAGACACTCCATCAGGGA